CTCCGTTCATCCTGAGGCCGAGTCCCACATACAGCAACTAGAAGGATGTGCAGCTACGACACACAACTATCCACTGGGGCTTTGGGGGGAAAAATAAAATAAATAAAATCTTTAAAAAAAAAAAAACAAAAATAAAAATAAGCTTTGTTATTTTTATCCCAATTCACAGTATATTAGAGGCATAAATTAGGGGAAAATTTGTTTCTAGAAGCAACACAGTGACAGCATCTAGAAATAACTGAGAGTCTAATGCAGAAGTGGCAATTACAATAACTAGAAAAAATAAAAATAAGAGCTTAAAAAACAAATTTGCATGGAATCATCTAGTTCAAGGACAGAGATCTCTGTTCATCTCAATTAATACTAAAGGTTTTGCCACAGTATAGCAAATTATAATAAATGCATTAAAAATAGCTCTAATTCTTAAAATATATAAATAATGCTCAGCATCTAGTACTTTCAGACAGAAAACTAACCAACAAAGAAATGATTAAACTCTTTATATTCTGCCTAATTAGAGATAAACATTGGTTGCCTCAAAATTTTACTTATGATAAATACTTCCTCTCTCCCAACTTTATAAAAAAACAAATGTTACTATAACTATATTTTGCCAGATAACAAAAGCTCAAATTTCTAATTAGGATTTATAAAATATCTTCTATACTCCACCTACCATTTATATACATTATTTATTCCTTATAAATCTCTCCTTTTTTCTAAATATTCAGACAAGTGATTCACCTAAGATAACAGAACTCCACCATATAAGAAGTGAATTATTGAATCTCAGTCCTTGCTACACAAATGTATGCATGTAATCTCAAAAGGATACTTTGGTAACAAAAGTTAAAGTACTACCATTCTTTCCCTAACACTGCAGGCCTAGAAAAAATCTGCTGTATGTTATAAATTTAATATTTTCTCACATAGCAACGTTTAGGCCAAAGAATCCTTGTGGAAAAGACAGCAAAATAAGCGCATTAGGGGAGCATTTTATCTCCTTCCTTTACTAGTCTAAATCCTAGTGTAAGTCCACAACTCCTTATCCTACACCTACACCTACACTTGGAGCCAAATGTGTTTTAGAATTCAGAACTTTTCAGACGTTAAAAAGGTAATACAGAACATGCAACATATATTGAATATTACTTCAACAGGGACTGGGGCAGCAACTTTAATCAACATAAATATTTCTGCAGTGAAATACATGAATATTCACACTGAATGAATCTGTGCTAAACTTAGGGGGGAAAATGTGCATTTTTCAGAGTTTTCAGATTTTGGAATTAGGAACAAAGAATTACAGAGGCTGGCCCCTGGCCGAGTGGTTAAAGTTCCTCGCGCTCCTCGCTGGTGGCCCGGGTTCATGGGTTTGGATCCCAGGCTCAGACCTACTCCACTCATCAGCCATGCTGTGGAGACATGCCACACACAAAATAGAGGAAGACTGGCACAGATGTTAGCGCAGGGCTAATCTTCCTCAAGCAAAAAAAAAAAAAAAAAAAGAGGAAGATTGCCAACGGATGTTAGCTCAGGGCAAATCTTCCTCACAAAAAAAAAAAGAATTATAGATACGTATTTGCCAAAATATGGTCATGTTTTATAATAAAGAAACCATATATTTCTTTTTTTTCTCAAAAAGACGCCACAAAATTAAAATAAGTACTTTCTCTTCTTCTTCCTCTTTTTTTGGGAGATATTGCAGGCTTCATCTTTTGCTTGTAATTATAATGATCTGTATCACTCTTTTCACTAATTTTTTAAAAGATCATCAATCTGCTCCGAAAGAGCCACAGAAGGATACTAAAACTCAGTTTGAGTTTGTTTAGCCAATTAAAAGGCAAACACAGGGGCCAGCCCGGTGGTGCAAGTGGTTAAGTGTGCGTGCTCTGCTGCGGCGGCCCGGGGTTCACCGGTTCGGATCCCAGGCGTGCACTGATGCACCGCTCGGCAAGCCATGATGTGGCGGCGTCCCATATAAAGTAGAGGAAGATGGGCACGGATGTTAGCCCAGGGCCAGTCTTCCTCGGCAAAAAAGAGGAGGAATGGCATTGGATGTCTGCTCAGGGCTGGTCTTCCTCACAGAAAAAAAATAAAAATAAAAAAGTAAAAGGCAAACACAATTCAATTTCAAAAACAGGGAGACGCTAGAAAAAAGGGAGAACAGGAGAATCCATACACCTTGGTCAGAGTTCTGACTGGCTCTGGGCCCCCGGATGCTTAGGGCACCAGCTCTGCCTCGGCTTCAGACACAACTCATGGTTCATCATTCTCTTTCCCAAAGTAACACAAACCATCTTTAAGGAAAACATTTAATAATCCAATACCAATAAAACAGAAGCAGGTTTTTGCAATCTCTGTATTTTAGCTATTTATGCATAATGCCTATGTATATCACAAAAATTGTATATATTACTAGATATACAGTTTATCTTGAGATAAACTCAAGAGGTGAATTTTTTCCAGAAACTGAGTTTTCTTTTTAAATTTTTTTAATATGGTAAAATATATGTAACATAAAATTTACCATTTTAAACACATTTAAGTGTACAATTCAGTGGCATTAACTACATTCACAGTGCTGTGCAACCATCACCACTGTTTACAAAATTTTCTGACCCCAAATAGAAACTCTATAACCATTAAGCAATAACTCCCCATCCTCCACTCCCTCCAATCCATGGTAACCTCTCATAAACTTTTTGTCTCTATCAATTTGCCTATTCTAGATATTTCATATAAATGGAATCATACAATATTTGTCCTTTTGTGTCTGGCTTCTTTCATTTAGCATAATGTGTTCGAGGTTTATCCACGTTATGGCATGTGTCAGAACTTCATTTCTTTTTATGATTGAATAGTATTCTACTGCATGTACAGACTACACTTTGTATATTCATTCATCCATTCATGGACACCTGGCTTGTTTCCACCTTTCGGCTATTGTTAATAGTGCTGCTGTGAACGTGGGTATACAACTATGTGTTTCTCGTATTCAATCCTTTTGGGTATACACTTAGGAGTTGATTGTTAGGTTATGTCGTAATTCTATGTTTAGCTTTTTGAGGAACTGCGAAACTGTTAGAAACTGAGTTTTTAAAAATCATTTTAAAAGAATTTTTTTTTCTTAGGCACAATTTTAAACAAAATGCATACTATAAAAAGTGGTATACCATCAGCTTCACAGAAGTTGTCTGAGGAATCGTCATGCTTGGTCCACTGAAGAACAGCCTTCTGTGTTTCCTCACTTCAAACAAAGAAAATAAATAGTGTTTTCTTTTTTAAGTTAACATTTCACATAAAATACTACTGCAAAAAAAAAAATCAAACCTCAGAGACTCATCCACAGCTCCAAGTCGTTCAGCTCGTTCACATTCTTCAGTGAGACTGTTGGCTTCTTCAGAATACTAAAATGAAAAGGTGAATCAATAGAAGACAACCTACTGCATTTTTAAAACTTTTAAAAAGAACTTCCAAGTTATCTGAGGTTCTTTTATACCTGGCACCATGTCTTTGGCTTCAAAACTTAAAAAAAATTAAGCCTTCATATTCCTCCTGAAGCTAAAAAAGTATGTAAAAGGCGTTACCCCCTGTTTTCGTTAGAGAACGTGTTTACTATTATGCTCACAAAATAAAGAACCAATTACAGTTGTGATAACTCATTACCAACAAGTTAACTAAGAAAATCTTCTAAGTACAAGGAAGTCACTAGGCAAGGAGTCATGAGGCAATGTCCACTTTTCAATTGACCTAATTATGAGCATCAGTTTTCTCTTTCATAAAATAAGTGGTTAGACTAGATCACTGTGTCTAAGATCCACCTCAACTCTAAACGCCATGATTCTAAACATGCCCTGGAGCCTACCAAGTCTCATAAAAAGTATTTCAATATCTTCAGGTGTTTAAAACCACTGAGTCACTTTGTGTGTGTGTCTGTGTGTGTGTGTGTGTGTGTGTGTGTGTGTGTGTGTGTGTGTGGTTGCGTGTATTCTGCTAGGCATGTATGTGGCACAGGGGAAGTGAGTGTGGATCATAAGATTTCAAAACACACCAGTCATCACCACCATACAGCTGAAAGACAACACTGGAAGCAGGAAGCCACAAATTCAATCACTCAACTAATATTTATTGAGTACCTATTAATGACCATACAAATGACTGTCTAGCCAACAACACTTTGTGGATAAATGGAACGCTAAGATAACTAAAATGATATAATTTTTTTGTGCGTGTGAGAGGAAGATCAGCCCTGAGCTAACATCCATGCCAATCCTCCTCTTTCTGCTGAGGAAGACCGGCCCTGAGCTAACATCTACTGC